ACGGAGGGGGCAGTGGCAACCACCCGCAGGTGCCACTGGCAGCATTGTCAGCGCTTTTTCTATGGGGTGCACATGCACCCGTGTGCACCCCCTACGCAACACCAATGCTTACCTGTGTGCCAAAAAAAAAAACCAAGATGCAATAAACCTACCCATTTAGTTCTTTTTTGGTTTAGACTACTGTAGAAAAAGGCTCAGACTTCAAAATTTTGGTGAGATTAATGGAAAAAAGATGCCTAAATCTATTAGGCAATCATTAAAATCTTTGCCAAAAACCCTTATATATAACTTGTAACAAGTCCCTGTCAGGTCCATGCCAGTCAGATCCCAGAACCTCAAAGACATTATTCAACAGTGTGTTCTCATAAGGTCCTGGACTGGGTCCTGCTCGCCACAGTAATGAAAATCCCACTGACTTTCCTGAGCCAGGGTTTCACTCTGGTTGCCCCTCAGTCAACATTTTTTTGAAACTTATGTAAACTAGCTCAGTACATTGTGTAATCAGGTCCTAGGGGAAACTGCATCACTCCATCTTGTTGCTGTGGGGCTGTCACAAAGCTAGTATGCAGTCCTATTCTTTCCCTTTTTTATGCTTTTCAAAAAAGCAAAGTGGTTTGGGTAACACCTCTTAAGACAAATGGTTTGAAACAGGCTAATAGCAAAGCACCACTAGCTACAGCTCTGCTGAAGAGGGCACCACTCAAGCCCTGATTATCTGGTAAAATGAATTTGAATGTTGTATAGAAACATGTTTGAGCACCTGCGACTAGTTAGAAAAGAAAACATTATTTCATTGCTTTTGAGAACTAATAAAGAAGTGTTTTGTAGCTTTCACTAAATGTATGTGCTGCTGCTGCTGCTTCTCTTTATTACTTGCATTAGTGCAGCACTTTGCAGCCCTTGTAATCTCTTTAGCTTTCTGTTTGTACTTTGAGGTCTCTTATACACCACTGACATTTTTACTGTATGTATATGTACTTGTGCATATAATGTGCAGACACAATAAGAATGCCATCAGTCTGACTTAAAAACTTTAATTTCACCTCTTTAATTTATGTTCAGTAATAGTTGGGAATGTAACAGAAGACAGTTCTTCACGTAAATGTTAAAGCTTATGTTAATAGGTGAAAATAATGCATACTAGTAGCTCATGAGGATAAATGTATCTCTGCAAGTGCTACTTTGTTCTGTAGAAGCAAAGATTGTTATTTCAGTCTACAGATAGCCATAGAAGAAGAAATATGTAGTGCTTTATGAGGTGTCCAGCAGGAATACTTTCACAGCTTTGAAACATGGTTCATTTGCCTTTGTCATTAGATGGAGCAATAAAATCATAAGACCGTTAATAAAGTATGACATGCTGTAGGATAATTTTAAAATACTTTTTAATGCCTGTGGAGTTATATTATGTATGTCTTGTTCATTTGAATTAGTTTGTCTTAATTTTCAGACAGATTGCATGATCTCTGTGACCAGTTAAAAAACTAATATTCAGAATTAGTTGTCAGCACTCGTAATATATGTGTACAGTCAAACCTGGATTACTGCACACTTGGATTATTGATTCATTTGCATGTCTGAATAAATTAAGTACTATCTAATGTTTGTTTTTCTGATGGCACATTGAACTGTTTAAGTCCAACCTTTTTCTCCCTAAAACTATTTTAGATTAGCCAGATACACTGAACACATAGATGTATGGAGAACCCTTAACAGTGATAATGCTATCTACCTCTTATATTCAGAAGACTTAATTGTCAAGATTAAGTGCATGTAAAAATGTAGGTAGTTACTGTATCCGCAACTGAATGAACTGTGTTCATGGTGGCCAGTGGCAGGTCAAAGTCTTGATTTTTCTTCTACATAACATTCCCATAAAACAAGGGTGGATCTGAACAGCTTAATCAATCGATCCTGTTCTGTGAGACTAGTACTGCTCACAGGAACAACCCAGCACGTCAGCTGTATCTGATGGCCAAAGAGCAACCTCTCATGTCCCTTGGTGGCCAAAGTGATAGTGAGGCAATTGGCATTAATTTGGTTCACAATTTGAAGTTTGCCTGTTTGCTTTTTAAATATGAAGATGAGATGGGCAAGAATAGCATGTAAACTAAGAGATTAGAGTTCAAGGCCTCCTCCTAAGTGGTAATGGCAGAAGGGGAATTTTCTTGCTTTCTCTAAAAATGCACAAAGCCAGCGTTGTTTGAAAGCATAGGCACTGTATGCCTGCTGGAGCCATTCCTACTGTGCTGGATCTCGGCACTAAGAAAGATTAGCTCCAGATCCTCCATTATCTGATATGGAGCATGGTGTTGTGGTAGACATAATGATTAACAATTTTTAAATCTCTCTGTTAGGAGGATAAAACATTCTGTTGTTGTGCATATTGTCTGTTACGCTCAGTATTCTCTCTCTTTCCTCCTTTCTCCCCTCGCCCTGCTCCTCTTCTTTCAGGGAGTGGAAGAAGTTCTGGCTAAACCTAATGTTTTCCTGGATTTAAAAAAACCCCATTCTTCTACTCCTGCAAGTGCTAGAAATGGCACGTTGTTTGCATCACTCTGGTATTTCCTCCCAAAGAATCAGAGTTTTTGGGAAAAGGTTTTCTTCTTGGGTGGTATAAATAGATGTTATTGGATGCTCTTAGACGTCACCCAGCAATTGTCTTCAGGCTTTTACTTTGGCTTGCCAGAAAAATCAGAAGGTCACAGCCAGAAAAACAGTAACATGATGAATGAGTACTATTAATCTACCTGTCTATGTTCCTGCCAGGCTTGGCATTTTCCCTGGTTGCCTTGTTTGGTTTTATAGCTTTATTTATACAGTTCACAGTTCATTACCAGATAAATATAATATAATGAGAACAGATCCTAACTAGCAGAAGCCTGTCTTCAGCTTTCAGCCTGTCCCCGAAGCAGATCTATAGTTAACTGAAACCAAGGCTGGCACAATGAAGGACAAGCAAGGCAAGCTTGGATTTCCTAGTGATGGTTTTATAGCCCCTATACTTTTGCAGGAAGGAAGATATTAGTGGATAATGGTGATCCTAACTTCCTTCCTTGCATTTGTCATACTGACTCTGAGTCTAGGGACAGACATTCAAAAAGTCTGAGCCTGAATTGAGTCAATCTTTACAAGTTAGTCTAAACTGCCCAGGCTGAACCAGTTTGTAACCACACACAAATCCTCTCTGGACTGAAAAATGCAGGCATATGCCTGCAGTGGATCAGGCTACAAGCTGGAGGGGGGGGGTAGTCCTCCCTTCCCTTCCATAGTGCTGAGCTGATGTGGGTGTGGCCAGGCCCCAGCAGGATGCTCTGATTATGGAGGGGTCCCCCCCTCTGGTCAGCGAGGGAGCCAGCAGGGATTTGCACAGTGTTTACTTGCACAGCATGGAGCTACAGGGGGAGCATTTATCACCCCATCAGTAAAACAAAAGTATCTCTCATTAGTTCAAGCTCTTCTTAAACAACTTTTTTCCAAGGAGGGACATTACCAGCTACCTGTCGATTAGCTCCAAAGAGCCGTAAGCAGACACTGCCTGGTCTGTCCTTGCCCTGTCTCCCACAGCACAGATGGGACTGTAGCCAGCATGTGGTATGCTAGCTAATGCTGAGAGGTGTCTGTGTAAGGCAGATTGGAGGGGGGAATCCCTGCTGAAGCAGGGAGTAGGGAGGGGGTGAGCAGGAGGAAGCCAGGCAGACACCCTGTACCTGCAGTCTGCTGGAGCTGCAGCCAGGCAGCAAAGGGGAGGGGCCAGCCCTGCTGGGCTGGAGCAGAGAGCAGAGCCCCATCCAGAGTTGCAAAGCATCTGGGATTCTGGGGAATTCTGATTTAATTTAAACCAGGAAGGTGTCTGGGACAGACATTTCATAAACCAGTTTGAGTCAAATCAGTTAAGTCTGATACTACATTCAACCAGGTTTGTCTCAAACCAGTTTCAGCCATTGTCAGACCAGTTTATGTGCACTGAATATCTGTTCTGTTACAGGTTTAAACTAGTTTCTGATCATTTAAATCAGTTTATGTGTAGTGTCTGTCCCTACCCTTAGGGTCTGTCAGCCGGCACAGGCAAATCTTGTCTGGGAATATATTTTGGGTACATTTAAGATAATTATATTCTTTGCAGATATTTGTGAACAGAAATAGAAGCAAAATTGACTTACAGTGAATTGCATGCTTGACTCTAGATTTCTTCCCCCATTAAAGTTTTAATTTCTTCACTGTTTTTGGACTTTTGAATGCAAAGAGCTCCAAGACCCTGTTTTAGTAAAAATTAAGTGTTATAGCTTACATTATTTTCTGTGTCTTCTCTATAGCTGTAGACATGTTTAAACCCTTTCCAAGTAAGATAGTATACCAAATAAGAAATAGCCAACTAAATGTTGCTTTTTATGTTTGATTTGGGTAAGACCCTTATCCTGATAGGTTAGACTGACTAACCTAAAATGAATAGTCTTAGATTTATCCTAATCTTGTATGGAACAAGGCAAATATGAAGGGGAAAAAGTATTAAACAACTGAGATGCTGGTCTCTCAAAGGAGGTCATTAGCAGGGATCCTGGTTGTTTCTGATAAAAAATAAATCTCCAATTTTTAAATTAAAAAACCCCAAATCCACATTTTTTCATGATCAGAATGAAACATTACTAATAGAGAGATAGATAGTGTTGTTTCATTTTGATCATGGAAAACTGTGGATTTGGGGTTACTTTTATAAATCTGAAAATTGGAGATTTTTTTATCAGAGAATATCATCAGATCAGTTGAAAAAAAAATATTTTTGTCCCTCCTGGAAATAGAGTGGATAGTAAGAGGAAGCCTTTGTAATGGGGTTGAAAAGAAAACAGCCTTGCAGTGTGCCTAACTGGTTGTCCAACAGGCTGCTTTGGTTTCATTTCCAGAAAACTGTGAGAACCTGAAAGCAGTGGAGGTGGGAGAAACATTGTGCCAGCCTGTTTAGTATAGACAAATGCTTTTATCTGTACCTTTCTTTGTTACAGGAACCTAGGCCGTTGTATAACAGAAGGTGCCAGTTTTATTCAAGTGGAATAGGATTCTTATATGATGCCTACCAGACAGAGGTAAACAAACATCTCTTATTTCTTGTGTGGCTTTCTGGGTAGGTTTGGGCTGTGGGCTCATTAGAAACCTGAATATGCTTTTCTCTAAAGAGCAAACACCAGTGAATCAAATTCATTACTCACTGTGTGTTTTTGAGTTGGTGATAATATTTATATTAAGCATATTTACTTTGGAAAAGGAGCAATTCTCATTCCATCTTTATTATGTAGCGGTCTGCTGGAATATATTTGTTACATTTGTGTCTTTCTCTAAAGAGGCTTTTGTTAACTAGAGTTCTCTAGCAAATAAGTTAGTTAATTTATGTTGGGCAGAAAACTTCAAATCTCCTCTAGGTTTATGTGGCATGAGCAAAGAACATGGATATTTTGTGTTCTGCTTTTTTTATTATGGTGTTAAAATGGCAGGAAGTGTGTCCATATACAAATTCAGTGCTTCTTGAAACCATCTTGACTTAGTTTCTCTCTCTCTTTTTAAAATTTTATTTACTGTTACTATTAATTCTGTAGGGTTTGTTTTTCAATCTGGGATGCTAACTTGGTGGCAGTGAAAAAGAAATCAACCAAAGTAGAACTGAAAGGAACCATGTAAGAAACTGCTAAGATGAAAATATTTGTACAATATGGGAGAATTATGAAGAGCAAACCCCCTCACTTGGTAACCACACTGGTACATGCTTGCGGATGGTAAAGCAGTCTCAGACATTTTAAGCATCCAGTCTATTTTTGATCAGCACAAAGTACTGGATCCTGGTTTTCTCTGATTTTAAAAAAAATCTATGTTTTATACACACACACACACACACACACACAAATAACATAGATTTTAGTGGTGTTTCATTTTCATTATGGAAAAATGTGGATTTTGGGTTACTTTTTTGATCCAAAAATTGGGGATTTTTTTTTATCAGAGAAAACCAGTATCCCTGGTTCTTATCTTTAGCATGCAGCCTACATGTACCCATATTGAAATAATACCAGTAGCATTTGCATCCTTTATGAGTCCATAGTATAAGGGAAGGTGTCTCTTTCAGTCTGTAGCTCCACTTTTGTTTTTGGCAGGTGGTTTTGGTTGGTTCTCTTCATATTGACAGTGGCTGGTGATGTGCTCAACGTAAATGTCCCATGACCATCTGATGATGACCAGTACCATGAGGTGTTTCATCAACTAGGAGCAGTGTAAAAGTATTCTGAAAGTTTTCAGGCTGCTCCTGTCACTCGGGTCCACATGCTGAGTGCACCAATGGTTAGCTCTAGGGCTGTATGAAACAGCTGTGTTTCGATTTGGTTTGAGATTCGGCCATTTCGGAGGATAGTGATTTGTTTCAGTGTTTCGCATCATAGTCCTGGGCTCCCCCTGCACTGGCAAGTAGCAAGCTTCTGTGGCTGGGAGCCTGCAACTGATGGGGCTCATGGCTGTGGGGGCACCCCATGTGCTCTTGTGGCTGGGAGTCCCATCAGCTGACAGGACTCACAACCATGATGGAGCATCTGGCCACACATTCAGTTAATGGCCTGATAGGAATCAGCCACAAAGTGATTACACACTTTTGTGGAATAACTTTGTGGTTTATTTCTCATTTTATCACACCCTTAATTGATTGAACATGTGGCTGGATCACAATTTAAGATGTGATTAACTCAGTCAGTACCTACCAAGTAAATGGAGCTTTCTGATTGCTAAAGTGAAGCTGATTAAGCTTCTCTGCAAGTAAGCTCAAGCACATCACTTAATGTTTTAAGGCAGGGGTTTCAGACTAGTGCCTTGGCCTGGATCTGAACCACGGGGATCCTTGTGGGGATCCAGCCGCAGCATCGAGTCCAGTGACAGAAGTGATAAGAGCTCTGGTGGTGGATCTGTGGGGTGGGTGAGTCAAGGAGCAGTGGCAATGAGCCAAGGCCAAGTGGCCTTAGATTTAGCCCACTGATGGCCAGGGTCATCCTTGGCAGACTGAACAGAGAGGGTGTACAGGCCTGTGTGCTGTATGTTTGATACCCCTGCTTTAGGAGATTGGAGGTATTTGACTGTATCTAAAGATTTTAAGAATGCATGAAGTTGAGAAGCTTTGACCTAGACCTTTTTTGGCAAAATAAAAACTATGTTTCTGTAGCATGTTGGTTTAAGGCCTAAAGAATAACTTTCTTGTCTGGTCATCCACTGACATGTTTTTCCAACTGCGCTGATCTGGACCTAATTCAGAGCTAATGATCCATAGCTTTCAAGTTTGGCTTTTGTTTTCTGAACTCAGCCAACTGGTAATCAGTTGCAATACTTCTTACCAAGAAGGCCAATTGCTTGTTCTATAAAATGTTCCAGGGCACTAGTTTTGTTCAAAATGCCATTTAATAGTATGCAACAGGTATATGGCTTGCCGAGTTTTCTCAACATATTACTTTTCTTTGCCAGAAGCGGATACCATTTGATTTTTTTTTGTAGCTATTGTGAGGTGAGAACATCTCTCAAGTTGGTGCTGGGGAGATAGAAAACCACAAACTTAAGAAGCCTAACAGTCTGGCCTCTGACATGAAAAAATAGGATTTGGCATGCAGAGTACCCACAAACATCCTGATCCTACCCCCCAGCTCCTCCTGAGCATTTATTCACTCATCTCATAAAAAGAGTGCCTGGCCCTCTCTTGGTTCTTCTTGCACCTTAAAAAAAACCAGTTATAAAGATGGACAACTCCAGTAGCCCCTTCACCCAGTAATTAGCATGCACTGTAACAAAGATGCTAAAACATGTTTTAGATCTTATTATTCTCCCTCTAGTGTCTTTCCAACCCCTTGCAGCCAGGGCAAGTAAAGCTACTTTGCAGCATGCACTAAGAGTTTATAAATCAGGACTATTTGAAATGAAGAGTTCCTGCTGATCTCAACACTGGGGCTATGTCACAGGGAGGTGGCTGGTCTTTCAGGTACATAGATCTCAGACCAGTGTGAACATATTGGTTAAGTTAAAAATGGAATATTAAATTTGACGCAGTAAGTGCCCAGCAAGATGTCCCCAGTAACTTACTGGGGCAAGATGTCCCCAGTAACAGATACATTCTGCACTGATTTTTCAGTTTTCAGATACACTGAAATTGTGTCTGTCTGATGTCTGTGGAAATATAATTTAATCTGGAGCCCAGTAAGACTGCTGCCATTGTTGGAACTAATGGACCTCCTCATGGAGTGTGATATTAGTTCATGTTAGGAAGGGTGGAAGAATCAGACTCTTGGTAATTCTAAGGTTCATTTTAGCTATGTAGCTACACATTTGCTCAACTCCAAATGATTTCAAGTACAAAAATAATGGCAAACAAAAATATCACACCAGGAAGTTGTTTTTTTAGTGCAACCTATATCTCAAATTGACCTTCATCAGAACTTTCACTTCACAGTGTACCCTCTCTTATTGGATCGGAGCATGCGTTTTGTTTTTGGGACTTCACAGGGGTATAACCTCACCCAAGAAAAGAGGTTTGACACCTATTTGAATGGACATGATGGAGGGACTAGGACGCAGGGGTTAGACTACATGAATCCTGAGGGGTGTTTAACCCCCAGCCTGCAGGCCAGATCTGGCCCCTGGCACTAGGTCATTCAGCTTGTGGAGCTGCACACAGGCACTTTGGGATTCCCATGGGCTGTGGTCCTGTGCACCATATTGGCTGTGCAGGTACTGATTCTGGCATGTGGAGCTAGGCAGGCTCAGTGCAAGACTCAAGGGTACCAATCCCAGTGGAGGCAGAGGAAATTGGGATGCAAGTCCCAGTGGGATCCCAGCACATGGGGCCTGGTGGAGACAGCACCAGGGCACCAATCCTGGCACACAGAGCTAGGGACAGTATCCCAGCATTACTCAAACACAGTTGTCTTAGAAGGCAGTTGGGTCCAGACTGATGTCCTTATGAAGTTTTGACAGGGCTTGTAGAACAAACCTTCAGTGTAACGTAGAGACATACCTCAAGTTAAACATGTGTCTCAACTCTTACTGGAATCTGCTGCCTATGCCACGTGATTATGGCTTGTCAGGTAGTTTGCATATATCAGCTGTCTTTTATTTGAGATATCTACCTAGACCAGGGCAAAACATCTGGCCCATGGATCTGTGTTTTCTCCCTCACAGGGCTGGAAATTTGGTGGTTGGGCAAGCAGTGTTAGTGTTAATCACTGTGGCTCTGGGAGCTATGGCAGCTTGTTTCACCTAATTTCTGACCTGTGGGCAGTCCTGCGGGCTAGATCCAGAGCACAGCACCATGTCATCTGGCCTGTGGTGGGACAAGCAGTGGTTGCCACAGCTTCTGAAGCTGTGGCAATTAATGCTGATACGACTTGTGCCCTCCCAAACTTCTAGTCCCATGGGCCAGATGACAGTTCTTTGCTCCAGATATGGCCCATGGACTGGCTCTGAGCTGCTCATCTGGCCCAAGGCACCAGATGAGTTTCACACCCTTGGCCTACCCCACAGGCATGCTTCTTTCCTTTTTCTTATTTCTTCTTCTTTTTCTGAACAATTTTCAGCCACTGACAGCCCTTTGGTTTCAGTAGAATTAAGGTGCTAGTTAATGTGGACATTAGTGATAGATTCACGCCATACATGGGTATTCTGTGTGTTAAGCCTTGTTTTTGGATTCTTATGATTGGACTGTTTCCCTTCTGTTTTGGCTGCTGCACTTCGCCACCCTCGCGGTTCCACTTTCAGAGATGTCCTCATAGGTCCTGTGAGGCAAGTACATCACACTGCATCCACGTCTATGCCTGACTTCAGGGGAGCTCCCCATAACAGTAAAGATTCTGACGGGGCCATAGTCTTGGTTTGCACTTTTGGCTGCTGTCCTAGAATACAGATGGGGAGAAAACACTCACTGATGATCCCTGACCTTCCAGAGTTTGCCTTCCGCAGTTTCAGTCCCTTCTTGATTCTTTATTCATTATTTGCTTTCCTTGTGGACTTTTCATTTTCTTCCACCCCAGTCTTCCCTGCCCCTTTTTGTCTTTGATCTTTTTAGATTCTCCATAGTTATCATGTTCTCTGACTACCCACCCTAAGCCTTGTTCATTAAAAGTAGGAAAGCTCTTCTCTTTCTAGGCCCTAAATGTTCTAGGATTTTCTGAGCCCCCCCCCACTATTATTTCCACTACTCAAAGAAAAACCCTGCCTATTCTCACAGTTTTCCTGTTAAGCCACGTTTTAAAAGTAAGTAGAGCTTTCTTTGTACATGGGTTTTTGTGTGTACAGATGACCTCAGCACTTTTCTTTCTCTCAAGAGAGAAGTCACACATTAGAGAAGTCCCAGGTTTCACACCAAAGAGTGTACAGTGATTCAGACCTCCCCCCAAAAAGCAGAAGCTTGCAGTTCACAATTTCAGTATAAGAGATTATTTAAAAAAATAATATATTGATGAATGAAAATGTGTCAGAGAGCACTTATCAGACATTTTAAAAGACAGTTTATTCCTAAATATGTTATTATCATATGCAGTCAATAGTCAATTCTTTCCATTGTGCAAACTGAACCCTCTGAATGGTTACAGCATATTTTCTTTATATATATATATTTTTTAAAAGATTTAAATAATATATCTTCAAGGATATGAACTGTTTTAACACTGACAGCATTTGCACTATTTCAAAACTATTAACAAAGCTGAAAAATTTCAGTAAGAATCTTGGGCATAAAATATTACAGTTAGCTTCTTATGTCAAGTAGGAATTATGTACGCTTACTGCATTTAAGGGTCATTAACATGATTTCTTGTCTGAGTGGAGTGTGACTCACGTGTGCCTGCATTTATTGTTCCAACATCTGTCTTCTCTCTAGAGTCCATATTCACACAAATGAGCCTTTTTTATTTCAGTACTCCAGACAGCCTCCTGTAAAGGGTACTTGTCTGCTTAATTACTTGAAATTTTTCCCTGTTTTTTTGTTTGTTTGTTTGTTCGAAACTCTTGATTGTGGTGTAATAAAGGCTGAAGAATGAAGGAATAAGAGAGAGCATTCTAGTTAGAGAAGCTTATTATTATTCACCAGACAATTTATTCCTCAGTGGTCAGACCCGCCATACCATGCTTCAAATGTACAACTTAAAATGGTGAACAGATTTCCTCATACAGCTTCAAGACACCAAAGGAGCTCAGTAACTTTTTAGGGGAAAATATTTCCAGTTTTGTTTTTCCACTGTAAATACAAAATGTTCTGTCATCATAGAATCAATCAAAGGAAAATAGGGTTCGAGGGAACTCACAAGGTCATTTATTCCAGCCACCTGCTCAAGGCAGGACCGTCCCTAAACTAAATCGTCCTAGCCAGGTATCTGTCTAATCTGTTTTTGAAAGTTTCCAAGCAGGGAGATTCCACACCTTCTCCGAGGAGCCTTTTCCAGTGTCTGACTACTCTTGTAGGACACAAAGTTCCTCCTAATCTCCAACCTAAATTTCCCCTGCTGCAGCTTCAGGCCATTGCTCTTACTCTTGCCTCCTACAGCCACAGAGAAAAGCCTATCTCCATCCTCTCTATAATCACCCTTCAGGTACTGGAAGACTGTTATCAAATCCCACCTCAGTCTTCTTTTCTTCAGGCTAAATAACTCCAGTTCTGCTAGCCTTTCCTTATAAGTATTGCTTCCCAGGCCTCTAACCATTTTTGTTGCCTTGTGCTGGAATCATCCCAAACTGACCACATCTTTCTTGAAGTGCGGGGCCCAAAACTGGGCACACTACTCCAGGTGAGGCCTCACCAATGCTGAATGCAGCAGAAGAATAACTTCCCTTCATTTGCAACTCACACTCCTGTTAATATAACCTAGGGTGTTGTGTGTGTTTGTGTGCATCATGCTTAGACGGTGAGTTGAAACTCTGGCAAGGAGTGGTTTGTACAGAAAGGATGATGCCATCATTTACTGACATTTTAATCTTGGCCTACCCAAAGTGGTATCTAGATAACCTGTCAGACATGTTGCCATAGTCCCACTATGACTTTTATGCTGATTTCCTTCCATCAGAGATTGAAGACTGTTTAAGTGGATGTAGGATTTAGTAAAGAGTGTACAGTGTGCCACTCCCTTCGACTGTGGGGGGTGGAGGCAAGGTACCGTTGGAGCTCCCAGGCTAGCAGGGGGCCGGACAGGATTCATGTCAGATTGTCTTGGGCTGTCAGGTTGTTGTCTATCCTAGATCTCAGTGTTGACACAAGAAGTGGGGACCCATCTGCCACCACTGCTGACCTGGGCTTGGGGGAACCCCCAGAGCTGCTCCTGCCCTGCTCCAGTGGAGTCTGTGGGGAGCAGCTGTGTGGGGTGCTCAGCTTACTGGGGACAGCGGTGACAGCGGGCAGGCCCTCCTTTCCTGTATGTGCTCCCAGCCTGACCACCTGAGAAGCAGGCACTGCAAAGAGGCACCTAGCCTGTTGCTATCCCTGGCCACCCCATGGCTGAAACATGGCAGGAGCAGTCTTGGGCTTCCCTCTATGGCCAGACTGTGGTGGGCAGTGGCAGTGCTGGGCAGGTCCCTTCTTTCTGTATCTGTCCCCTCCTGCCTCCCCCTGGGGAGCCGGAGACAGTGGCCCTTCTGGAGCAGGTGTCCCAGGATCAGGGACCTGGACTCCTGAGATCATCTGTCATGAATCCAGCCATGTTTCCTTGCATCCAGGGGCTCCATGCATTGGATGTGGTGAACAATTCATGGATTGAGGGAGGGACGTATTGAATGAAACATTCCAGGCTAAATGGGGCAGCATTCTTCAATGCAACCATTCAGCTGCTTAGGAGGAAACAAAATGTGCAGATGTTTTTGTGATCAGTGGGATAACTTGGAAACTAGTGGTCACCAGGTACTATACCTGTTGGCCTCTGCTTAAAGAACTGTCCCCTCTCTCTTCTCCAGGTAATGTGTTACACCTTAAACAGCAAATGCCAGCTTAAAGTGAAAAGTAACACATGCTACTGCTGTGACCTTTACAACTGTGAAAAGTAAGTACCTCCAAAGCAGTACACATCAGTAATACAATGTATTTGTACATCTGATCTGTTTCCAAAAGGCAGATATTTACACTGAAACCCATATTCTGGGACTCAGCCCATAGCTGGATATCAGGCCATACACTGGCAACCACCCTGTGGAAGACTGAAGGAGCCCTCCCTTCACATGTCATAGGGCAGTTGTAAAGCCTGTTGAATTACCAGTGCCTACAGCTGTCCCTCTTCTGCCTGCAGCACTCTTTTGAGAGGACAGGGGACCATACAGTCACCATGGTAGATGATAGATATGGAGCTGTCCCCATGCATTCAGTCACATAGTAGTGTGTGTTGGGCTCTGAACTGCTAAGTGTCATAGACTCTGCCAATTCCTTCCAGGGCCAGCATCAGACATGTTGGGTAGAGATGAAGGAGTGAGTCCTTTCTGCACCCCAACTGCAAATTGGATGGGGTAATGGGACCCCTGTGATCTCATGCCATGGGGAATTAGTCTGAGTGCTTGCCCTTAGAAGGAGACTTAGATGTTGAATATGCTGGCTCATGGAGTGGGGACTCCATGCTTGGTGGAGGTGGAGCCAGGATTTTCCTCTCTGTGCTCTTATTACTTTTGTGTTTTTATTTAAAAAGCATTGACGGGTTTTGTCAGGCAACCAGGCTAAATACATGGTAGACAGCCTTGTCAGGATTTGTGTTGACCTTGCACTAGTATTTTCCAAATTGATTTAACTGATCCCTTTTTGAACTAGGGGAAGCAAAATTACAGGATAGTTTCAAGGTGCTAACATGTTAGGCAAAGCAAGGGCAGTCTTACAGGTATCATCTTTACACGCTCAAGAGGTTAAATTCAATAGCCATAAGGCTAGAGAAGGTACAAAGAGAATGCTTTTTAAATACTGTTTCTTAAAGATCTTAATTTTAATTCATTGTTACCAAACCACAGGCTGAAAAAAATATGGCGATGAAAGTACCTGAACAGGGTAGTCAGGTAACAGTGGACCAAGTCCACAAAGGGCCCTAGACATAGTGATGTTCTGTATCAACAGGGTTAACTTTTAATTTGCCCTGCCCCGTGAGTCAAATTAATTTAGGGGATGAATTAGTTCGGGAGACCAGGTTCCCAATACAAAGCAGGGGTAGAGTGCAGGGACTAGGAATGGGACTCCTAACCAAAAGCCTGGAAAGTGAGGAGCCATCTAAGAAAGCAAGTAAAGAGAGGGGTGGGCCTGAAATCCTGCCTCTCTCCCAAACATACTTACCTTGGGTTATAGACCTGTTGGAGACAGGGATTTACAACCTCAAACTTCCTCTTGCTCTGAGGTGCCCAAGACTGGGTCAGTCTCTTCTTTTGAAGGATAGCCAAGGAGGTTCTGCCTATGTTCACCTGGTCTAGTCGGTAGAGCACTTAGGAAGTGAGAGATCCCTGGCCTCTAAGCCTTTTAGAGCCCAGGGGATTCAAACCTTGCAGCTGCATCAGAAAGAGTGCCCTACCCCCAGGCTACAGGGTTGGCTGGGAAGAGAGAGAGTCTCCACTCTCCTTGTTGCATTCGCACTGTGGCTCAGGTTCAAAACTGAGGACTGAAAGGGAGAACAAGCAAAAGGGTACATGCTGGAGCTTGTGGACTTGGGCACTTACCTGGGAAATAGTTTCCTAGATTCCCATTCTTGCTCCCAATCCTTGGCTGGGGATTCCTTTAGAAGGAGGGCCCTTGGCCAGTGGCATAACTAGGGTAGGGTGACTGGGGCAGCTGCCCTGGAAGCCGATTTGCAGGAAGGGGAGCAGAAAAGAAATGGCTGCTGGCACAGCCACACAATCAAATCAGCAGCACAGTAGCAGACAAAAGTCACCACTTCCCCTGCGTGTTGCAGTCACCTCTGGCACCTAGCTGCGTTGTTACACCTCTGTCCATAGCAGCCCCATGGAAGAGAGGTGGGCACACTCTAAGAGCAGGTTTTGAATTACGGGGGAGCTCAGGGAGGCTGAGCCCCCCCATAAGAAATGAAAACCTCACTGTAAGATTTGAAAATCATAACCTGGACAGTCTCTGATTTTATTAGGGCAGATGGGCAGATTTTATTAGGGTAGTTGGGTAGTTGGGCAGCCCATTTTTTTTTTCCAGATAAGTGGGGAGCCGGAGGAAAAGCAAGGGCAACATTGGAACCCTGCTGAACCAGATGGGCCAACTGACACCCAGGAAAAAGCCAACCTATTAAAAGGGTACTTTGCATCGATCTTTCATCAGTCCCATGGGACACCCATGCCCGCTACGGGACAGGGAGGTCCGGGTGAGGG